ATATATAATATATATTATATATATATATATTATACCCTATGGGATAAATGTGTGTAATACATAAACCCTTCCTCCTGCCAGAGGAAACTAACACCAAAGTTTTTTGCTCTCCGTAAAGGAGCTACCACCTGAGATCCCACAGAATATTATGCAAGTTGAACAGATTGGGGTGCAAGGTTTGTGGAAGGGGAGAGGAGGAAGAAGCTGTAATGTTTGACATAGACTGGAATGCTTCTGGTGGGGAAGATCTGGTTGAAGAAGATTTTATTTTAGCCATGGTTAGAGTGTCATGTTACTTATCTCCTTGAGTGACAAACTCAAGACTAACTGTCCCAAAATAGAGGATGTCTGGATTTCCATCATGCATTGTAGTATTCATTAGATACTCCATTAAAAAAGCCTGTCATGATTCTATTGTCCCTAAATGGTTACCTACGTGGTTAATTCCTGTGCTTCATGTATGTTAAATACCCATCTTCAGCTCGGAATGGGAGCGTTTAAGCAGAGTTATTGAAACTGGAGCTGTAGACATGATTTCCTCTTTAAATCTTAACCTATTAGTGTGTCTTGTGTATTTTGCCTGTCCTTCATGTTTGCTTTTTCATTTGTTTAGACCTTGTTGCCATCAGGTTGGTAAGTTTCTGGAATTGGACTTGTGTTTGTTTTTTAAAGATAATAATATAATTAAATTGGATGGGCTTTGCATCTTGTATTTTCTTTCAGAACGAAAGACAGTATGTATCATGCCCTGACTTACGCCACCATATTGGAAATGCAAGCTATGATGACATTTGACCCTCAGGACATATTGAATGCAGGGAACACAATGAAGGAAGCTCAAGCCACCTGTCAAAAGTAAGTGTGGAGCAATTCAGTTAATAAATAGTCATGGGAAAGTTTTGGAAGACATACATGTTAAAAAAAAAGACATGTAATTTCATAGAAATCATAGGAAAACTGGGATTGGAAGCGACATCAGGAGGTTATCTAGTCCAGCCTCCTGCTCAAGGCAAGTTCAATTATGAGGTCACACCACATAACTTAGGGTTTTCATCAGTCTAGTCTTGAAAACATTAATTTACTGCATTATCTGATATTTCTTGTCAGTTAGATTTTTTTGTCCCATATGTAGCTCTGATTCTGCCATGTCTGGAAGTTGCCCTTTGCAGACACTGCAGAATCTTCCCATTTGATGATGGTTGCACTGTAGCGGGCTGTCTTTGAGTCAACTGTGCTTCCACTTCTGTGCACGTATGCACACACACACAAAATAAATCAAAAAGCCCACTTATGCCCTTCCTTCATCAAGACAGATTTCTGCACCTACAGGGTAGAAGATGGATCCTAGGAAGACCATCTTGAGTAACTTCTGTATAGAATATGCTAAAATTTGTGTATGTGGTAAGATGACAGAGGGTAGGTGAGTACTAGAGGTATGTTAGTGACTCTGTGGGTGGCCAGCTGAAAGATACTGTTCTCTGTTGTTGATGCTTCATGCTCAGAATGACCAAACTGACTTTTCTGCAGATTTAGGAAGAAATCTACAGTAGCGGATTCTATAAACAACCTCGTACATAGACAAAGCCTTGAACACTTTACTGAAGGTAACATTATCTCTAAATCCATAATGTTTTCATCTTTCCATAATTGGAATTGTGTTGAATTTTTTACCCAATGTGTTTTTGCAGATTGTGAGTTCACTGACACAGTGTTTAATGTGGCATTGACAAAATTGCTCTATCAGTGTTTTGACAATTGTTGTGTCGCCACATCCAAAATCACCATTTTTGTTGACTGCTGTCTCAACATTTCAAAAAATTCCTGTGCAAAGAAATACTTAGAAAGGTTCTAGATCCAGGAATTCCTGGAAGGCAGCAGAAAAATTCCTGTTTCTGTAAGTTTCTGTAACTGTGTGTCAGTTCTGTTTGGAGTGACTTCAGTAGTCTTGAACTAAAGCACTACAGCAGATCTAGAAAATATTTTTCTCAGTTTCAGCTTGGATCAAACTTTCTCATCTTAATTCTACTCCTATATTAATAGGCTAAGAGTTTTCTAATTGTTTTTTTTTTTTTTTTTTTCTAATTGATTTGTTTTCTTCCCTACTCCATATGACACTAGAGGAAATCCATGCAGAAATTTGCTATGCTGAATGTTTACTTCAGAGAGCAGCTCTTACGTTCCTCCAGGTATGGAAGGTCCCCTGTGTGACTCTTTTGGGAAGGGAAAAAAACTACCTACCATACAGGTTTCTTTGCTTAAAATGAATGAAATCCTCGAAGACCATACTTCGACCTGATGGTGTAAGACTCTTTCAGATGGATTAAACCTAGTAGAATGTTTTGTTATCCCTCATGATTACCTAACATCACTTATCATGATAACAGCAGTGAGTTCCCTGTGACGCCCTTCTCCAGTCCCTTTTGGATGGGTGGAATGTAACAGCAGTAAGCACCAATTTTCAAATAGTGTGTGTTGGGATATCAGATTAAAAAAAATGAAGTATGTGGTCATTGAAACTGTGCTGTGCTGGAATGCAAGCGAGTTTTTTGTTTTTGTCAGGCTGGTGTTTGATTTCCAAAGACTGCTTTCTCACTTTTTTGTTCTTCAACAGCTATTATGGTCTGCATAGCTATTAGGCTCCCCACTTGCTTTTTGCTCAACAGTGCTGCCTGTCTTTAAAAGAAGGGGACTCTCCCTCTTCTTTGAATTTCATCTGTGTGTACTAATGAAGCTTGATTTGTTTGATGGATCAACGTTAGCACTACTTACTTGGGCTCCAGCTTGCAATTTAAATTATTTATCATAGTTGAAATAACTGATTTTTCCTCATGTTTTGGCTGTACTTGCTATATGACAGTGTGACTCCTCATCTATGCAGAGGGGCCGATAAAAGTCATGTTCACCAAGGGGTTCTGTTTCTTGGCTCAAAGATGCTGGTAGATAATAAAATGCAGATGGTGATTTTACAGCATTTGGGAGTTGCCAGATGGGCTCTGATTTATGTTGCTTATGGTTGTTTGTGAACTGTGTAACTTTTTGCAGGGATCTGCAATGGCCTTCTGCTAGAAACTATCGATTTGTAGCAAAACTTGTGGTCAGAGTAGCTTTTTTCTGAAGGTTTTTAGAGCGGTAATGATGGTGACTTTATAGCAAATGATGGACTTTGAAATGGCCAAGGTGTAGCTACCTATTTCCACATTCCTTTGGGATCCTTTGGAATGGGTAGCCTCTTGCACTGGAGACAGTCTGGGTGATACTTGAAGCTATGGGAGCAAGGGTTTTAAGAACTACCTCACTGCATAAGAAGTTAGTGTTTTAATGCAGTGCCTCTTGGGTTTAAGCACTATTTTCACAAGTATCTGTTTTTAAAAATACTTATAGATACATGAGAAATTTAAGAGTAAGAAAATAATTTCTTGTCCTGTTCTGCATAAAGAATGTCTATTTGCTTCCTCTTCTGTTGTGTTTAATTTTTCATGAACTGGTTTTAAAAATACAACAAAGGCACTTGGTTCCAACAGCTGTTGGAAGTGGATTAGTTTTGATACTTAATGTGAATGACCAAAGCCACTTAAAAGCACAGAAAAATTAGTTTTAGGATTTTTCCTAACGGACTATTCTCACGTTGGTTATCTCTTGATGTTGGTATTATGCATATTCTGAATTTAAGCATTTTAAATCCCTCTTATTTTCTTCTTTCCATTTCCCATTCAAAGGTAAATATAACTGAACCTTTACATGTGTACACTGCACACCCCACCCCAAGATGGTAATTAAAAACCTTTTTCTACAGAACAAAGGAAAAAAGGATCACTTTCTTATGTGGTTATTTTGTTTACATGTGATTGTGATTCAGGTTTCTGGAGATATAGCATAAAGAATTACATGTTCATTTATGGTGCATATAGTTTGATAATGTTTCTTAAGGGTGACTGTAAAGGACACAGGCTGGTGGGTGGTGTTGCAGGCTGCAGGAGTGAGCATTTCAGGCCATTAGGCTTCCTCTAGTGGTTCATAGAAAGCAAAGTCTAGAAGTTGATCTGTAGCTTTGGTTGGATTGAGTGATCTTCCTGACTCACAGGAGGGTGGAAAGCTCTTTGAGGCAGGTTCTGACTCTTTCTTTACAGATCATTGAGCACAACTGGTCCCTGTTTCCTTAATAATAGCAGTGGAACAACCCAACGCTCATCTGGTCTATGCTATTTTCTCTACGATGCTTCATAAAGACTCTTAAAATACTGTCACAGAAAAATCAGCTGCTAGACCGCATATAGTCTTCCTATCCCAGAATAACAGCAGATATCCAAACAAACCAGAATGACAGATTATATAGGATGAGTGAGGCAAGAAGCTGTCACCAGAAAGTTATGAGACTAGAGAGTTCTGTAAACTAATGGTCCCACAGATACACTTTACTGTAAGTTCTCAGTTCATTATATCTTGTAATTTAATTTAACTGTTACCGTACAGTGTGGATCTCGCAGATAATTGAATATTCAGACCAGAAAGATCATATCCTGCATAACTTCACCCTGCTTCCTGTTTGGAAGTGAAACTATATTCTGTAGACTGCTGAGGGCAGGCAGTTACTTGTCTCTGGTGCTCAGCCAGAAAATGTTCAGATCTTAGCTGTGCTGAAGGACAAATGAGAGAAAGCTGGTTTTTGAACAAGCCACAAATCCATGTGCTTCAGGTGCCCTTCATTAGCTCAGTCCCCATTAATGCACATTTCAGATGATCCAAAGGTCATAAGGGCTAAACTAATCACAGAGGGCATCCAAATAAAGTCTATTTGTCTAAATAGAGTAAAAATATTTTAATATAGGAAGGAAATCCTAACTCAGCTATTGTTTCTTAGAGACTTCTATTGTGTGTGTCATGATGGTTATGTTCAAGCCATGTGTTCATCTCAAGAAGACAAAAGATCTTTATAATGCCTATAAATTCATATTGCTTTTGTTTCCTTTCTAACAGGATGAGAATATGGTTAGTTTCATAAAAGGAGGCATCAAAGTCCGAAACAGTTACCAAACATACAGGTAAGATAGAGTGATGATGTGGTCAACTGTACTTTCTCAGTAAGAAGTGCTGCTGGTTGAATTGTCCAATTCACAAATCAATTACTATTTTATTTATTGCAGCCTTTATTATGGGTCTCAAGTCTGTAGCCTTTTTCAGCCCACACAGATTCCTCCTTTGCATGACAAAGAACAATGATATTATGGTTGATTTGGATTGTAAAGATAATGGACCTTAACCTTGTTAACTCCCAAGGTTTGCCTACTTCACATACTGTATCTCTGAAATTATGTATATTAAAAACCTTATTCTAAACGGTGTAATGGTCATTATGTCTGCATAGCACAATTTGGAGGTCTTGCAGTCATTAGGCATGTGAAATAGCATTTTTTTTTTTATAGTTCTAGCTGCAGCTTTTTGGAACATACAAAACTGGTAGCTGAAACACAAATTATTTCATAAAAAAAGTACATGAAACTAAAAAAAAAGTTAAGAGATTACAACTGAAGAGCTTGCAGTGGAAAGTATAAATGGCTTCAAACAAAGGTTAACCAGAAATTGGTCTACAGGGGCAAGTTAGGATGGTAGAACAGGTGCAGACTCTGCTTCCTGGAGTCCCTGAACAGTCAATTCCTAGAGTATCCTTTTCCAAGCATATCTCACTGTCTGAGTGAAATATTTGGTCAGCTGGACTTTTAATCTGTTTAAATATGGCAGTTGTTCTGTTCTGAAGAGAATGTCCATACTATTGAAAATGATGAGCAGGGTTGCTTATCTGAACTTTCAGTATGCCTATTGCTTAGTCTCTATAAGTCAAAACCACCTGCTTAAGCAGATTTCTTCTTATCTAGGAGGTTATGAAGTGCTACATTCAACATGTGCAGAAGTTTTTGAAGTACAGTAGTAAATTCTTAAAATTACATTAAAATGTACACCATGAGAAGCATACTTGGTTTTGCATCAATAACTTTAGATCTGTTCTAGTATATGTAAACACAAAGTGTTATTAATCTAGTAGGTCTCAGGCATTCTTCAAAAGAATGCTGATAGCAACTTGCACATTACTAAGATGTGTTTTCACAAAGGGAAAGTTTGTATGCAGGGTTGGCAGTTAGGATTTTTGTAGGGTTCCTTTGATGTGGGAAGAAATAATTGTTTGCAGTTTTGGTGAGAGTGTGGTGCAACAAGTTATGGAGAAAACAATGAAATATGAAAATGAGATTTTATTTGCTTTCATTGATCAGTATTTTTTACAACATTGTTTCTGATATAAAAAGCCATCTTTTTTGTTCCCCACTGTCAGCAGTACTGCTTGATAATCCCAAACAACAGTAACCTTGAAAAGATGGGAGGAGTAAATGCTGGAAAGATACAATTTTTAAGTGTCTCTTTTGGGGAGGAAACTTTACCATACACTGTAAAAAAGATGGAATGAAATAAAACAGTAATTCAGAATGAAACATTTGCTTATTGTCAGTGAATAAAAAGTATCAGAAAGCTTTCACAGTAGCCCAGGCAACAGCCGGCAGATAAAAATGTGGGAGCCTGAACTCAAATATGTGACTGACATTAAAACTGGTTTTCCTCCTCTAGTAATGAACAAAATAAACTAAAACAATAGCGTAAAAAACAGATAGCTATAGAAAGCTTTGAGGCAAAAGAGGTTCAACCCATCTGGTTATATTCAGGGAAATAACAGTACAGAGTTGAGATTTATGAAAGTTATAAAAATAAGCAAAATGTAAATTCTGATATACCTGCCATTTAAAAATTTTTCTTCCAATTATCTTTTCCTATATATAACAAAATGTCATATTTGAAAAAAACACACTCAAGAAGAAGTACCTACTCCAGGAATTAGTGAAACTCCAATCAAATTTACTCATTTAAATTTAACTCTCTTTAAGCCACATCATCGCTTTTTTGCAGTAGTAAAGGTTGCTATTACCTCCAACAGCCACTCTTGAAACATTTTCAGTCAGACATGTGATTGCAGATTGAATATGTCTGTTTGACAGGAATTAATTGGCAGGACTCCACATTTTTTTTAATTGATATTAACATGACAAATTATTTGTTGATAACAAAATGTTTGCAGGTGTTGCTCATCTGGGTGAGGTGACAGCTTGATCTTTTTTGAACTACTGCATAGTTCCAGGTGGTCAGGTTACTTTCTTACTGGTCTAAAATTAATCATTTTATTTACTGACAGCGTAACAGAATCTTGTACGTTTTCAGGGAGCTGGACAGTCTCATACAGTCTCCACATTATGTCAAAGGAGAAAACCATCTTCATTTTGAGGGAGGTGTAAAACTTGGAGTTGGAGCATTTAATCTGGTACGTACCAACAATTCTTCTCTTGAGCTGAAGCCCTGCAAATCATCTCAACTTAAATACCTGAGAAGTTCTGCTGATGCCAGTGTTACTAATCATGTAGTTAAAGTGTGCCCTGACACCTGCAGGATCCCAGTCTCGGGTCTAAGAACATCAGGTAATAATTACTACACTTCAGAAGTAAAGAGACTCCTGCCTGCAGTGCCACTCTGTGTGCACACCCACTTGCACATCCTTACAGGGAGATTATCAGCTGAGACGTTAACTCATCTGGCACAGACTGAGGGCATGTTCTTGGAGAACATAGCTGAGTGCTTGTGCCCACCTCCCAGTCAGGGTGTTTATTAGCCAAGGGACCAGTGCTTGGGAGGTACTTGGAGGGGAAGGTGTTACAGCCTCATGAGAAGGGACCCACTGGGTTGGGGACCAGGAGAAGCCTTGCACAGAAGCAGCAGTTGCCTGTGCTTGTTGCCTTCCATTTACTGTTTAACTGGTACTTGGGAATCCACCAAGGACTTGGCTGTTAACTGTTCAGTTGGTGGGGCAGCGTACATGAATGGGGCCTGGGGTGCTTCTCAGACCACTGCTGGCTGTTGTTCCTTGTGTTCTGGTCAGAATGTTACGGGTAGGTTCCTGGTATGTCAGAGAGGCGTTGACCCAGAGATGGCGAGGGTTGACTTGGTTGTTCAGGTGATGGGCCATGGGAGGTGCCTGGTGCTTCTTCCTGCTTGCCTTACTTTGTGTGAGTCTGGCAAATGGCCAAATGTTAGATTTACTGCACAAAGAACAAAAACATGCTGTGTGGTATGCACTTAGTATTTTGGAAACATCCAAGAAGTGCTAGACTTACTAGGCATGTGCTGTGTGAACATATTTCAGTGCAGAGAATCCTGGAGACACAAGGTCTCCCTAAGAAACAAGTATTTGTTTAAATTGTATGTAAAATATAGCAGGTGTATACGTTTACCCGTGAAACTGTCAGACATATAAAGATGTTCTTACTAATTTTAGTGATTATTTCTTATGTTTGGAGAAGCTGTAGGAGGCAGCTGGTAGCTGAGAGGCAGAAAGTCTCTTACTGCATAACTGTCACATTTCTTTCTGTAGACATTGTCCATGTTTCCCACACGGATTCTGAGGTTACTGGAGTTTGTTGGATTTTCTGGAAACAAGGTAAGTGTGAACTAAATATTATTGGTACGTTCTCCTTACTCTTAAATTGTGAAATGGAGACAGGAGTTTTTCTTCTTCCTCACATTAACCATAACCTTCTGAAACACTCTGAGTCATATCACGTGCACACTGTTGGCACTGATGCTTCCATACAGCTCAGCACTCCTTTGTATTTTTGTACTACAATCAAAGATGGTGATACCATTGTTCAGTGATGATACTGTTGCAAAACATGATAAAGACAATGGCTAATACAGTGATGTTGACATATATTGGTTTTTAGTTACTGATCTTCTGATACATCCTTGTGCTTAGAAAATAAAAAAGTGTATGCTTAGCCTTTAATATATTAACTTACTTGATAGTCATTGTCATTGTGTTACCTGAATGTCCCTGACAGGTTCTTGCACAACATCCAATGGGGGTGAAAAAATTCAATTTCGTTTCTGAAATTTTTTTTTTCCCCTCTATGTCTTTAGTAGCAACTGATAACTTGAGTGTGGCACCTAAATTCTCTTTGCCTGAAAGAGTAAGTGCTTTTGTGCCTAGAGAGTACCAAGCCTGGCCTGTGGTGTTTGTGCGTGCAGGTTAAGGACAGAAGTTCAGCAGTGAAGCACCAGTAAACTCTGAGAACCTGAGTTAATCTGCAGGGCGGGAGCACAGAAAGTGCTGTGTTAGTTTTATTGTGGATTTGTTATTTCAAAACAGGATATTAAATTGTTCAGAATATCTTGGCCTTGATACCTTGTACCTGCCCTTGTCTGTCATTCTACCAGCAGAACATGAGATTTACTCAGAGCTGCATTCCTGGATTAAGAAAGCATGGTCCATGTAACCTAAACTGTTAATTACATCTATTTAATAGATGCTGGGTAAGGTGAATGTTTGATGTCCTGCAGACCCAAGGAAAGCTATATAAAAAAGTTAAAACTTAACTCTTTTCTAATGCTTTCTATTTACAAAACAAGTTCCAAGCAGAAAAATGTTTCTTTGGTCAGAGCTGCAACCTTAGGTGACAGGTGGATCAGTGTCATCACTATTTTGTTAGTTTAGAGGAAGGATCTTAGACCTGTAAATTAAAAATCCAATTTAAATGCAAGGTGCTTTTGACAGAACTTGGAAATTTCCAGGAGCTGACCAGGAGCTGTTTCACAGGCAGCAGAGGCAAAAATCAAATGCTCTTTCTTTTTACAGCTGACAGGTAGAAGTGTTTAAAGCAAAATATTATCCTAGAAATGTAAGGGCAATTCATGTACCAACAGAGTTCTGAGAGTACTTTGCTGAGCACTCATCTCATTACTGCAAATGAAAGTTGTTCCTCTAATTGAATTTCTCTTGGTTTTTTTATTTTGGCACTGGGATATCTTGTATGGCTATGAGTGGGGTGATATTTGTGTTGATGAGTCAGCTCCTGTTCCAGTTTTTTAATAACTCACTGAAACATGACCTGGATTACCATAAATTTAAGCAAAACCCCACTGTCTACACACCATAAAAAAGGATTATTTTAAACATATTGATCAAAGTTAATTGACAGTCATTTATTTTAAAAGGTTACTATAAAAAAGACCTTCTGCCCTTCAGCATTTGTTGATTTTGAGTCAGATGCCTAAAGCCAAAAGCAAAATTGCAATTGCATTTGCAATCCTTCCCAGCGGCGGCTTTCCAAACCTTGCAAGAGAAAGCTGTCCCTTGCAGTACAGACAAGAGTCTAGAAGGTGAAGAAAGAAACAGTGACAGGGGAGAGGGAAAGTTTGTGTCTCATGTGCTGCACCCTATCCAGAAGAAAGGAGTTTTGAACATATCTGTATTTGGTCTTGCAGTCTTTTCGTTAAGTGCTCACCGTGATCATCCCACTGTGCAAAACACAAGAGCCATGGTTAGTGCCTTGAGCTGTTTGCAGTTTACTTGAGAGAGATACAGAGCACTGGAGGACAGGTTGCTTTTGGTGTGGGTCATGTGTTTATAAAAACTGGATAGAAAATTGCATTGGGATATCTTCCACAATACTAATCTGCCTTGAAGCCAACAGATTTGCCCCTAGGGACTCTTCTTGTCTCTCAGACATGTCACATCCGATAGTAAATGAGGACATGCCCAGAGCTCCATTACTTCCTGGGCCATCTGTGGGCACAGTGGACAACGTGATCAACTTAACAGCAGTCTGGAGTCTCAAAATAGTACGTAGGATAAGATCAAGAAAGCATAAAAGTAGCCCAAGGCTGCATTTGTTCCCTTCCAGTCCAAAATGTACCAGTTGTGCCCTTGTCACCATTCAAGCTCCTTTCCCCTGTATCATTAGACAAATTATGGGCTTATTTGTGCTTAATGGCATAGGCCCTGCATTTGGACATGCAGGCTCAGTGCAGTTTTGCCCAGTTTCATGAGAAATTGTGTGCAGAGATCCGTGTCGCACGCTGTCAGGTCGTCTCGCCGGGGAGGCATGGCTTCTGTGCTCGCTGGGCAGTAGGTGGAGCGTGTGTCCCATCTGCTCCCTGCGTGGTTAATGGCAGCTTCGCTTCTGAGCTGAGCTCAGAAAAGCCCTTGCACTATCTGCCATATAAGCACTGAACCCTTCTTACTGAATCCTCTGCCAGGTCTCAGGCTAATATTTACTCTAGTTCTTGTTTTTGGAGTCAATTACAAATACTGTGCTGCTGAACTGTAAAAAAGTTTGACATGAGCCCACCATATGTTAAGTGCAGTCCGTCAGGGGGTCAGATGGCAGGCAGCATGTTTTCAGGGGAAGGCAGGAAAACATTCAGATAGAACAAATTTCTCTCAAATTATACTTTTTGATGTGGGAGAACATTTTTTCCAAAGCAGCTGAACTGCACAGTATTTTTGATGTGTCAGTTTGTAATAAATTCAATTCCAGTTTCCCACTAAGCGTCTTTTTCATTTGCATTTTGGTCTTTTATGCAAATTTCAAAATGAAGTTTGAATCTAAAATTGTTTCATAGGACATATTCAAATACCCTGTCTACTAGATGAATTAGTTTTTTGTAAAAGCTGTTAGTAGTATCCAGCTTTTTTGCTAAGCGTAATGTGATCAGGTCATGCCACATAAATGGTGACTTTGCTTTGCTTCTATTGTCAAGATCCATAATCAAAAGAGAGTGATTTCAAAATGTCACTGAAGAGCTTTCACTTCAGGAAAGTAAATAGATTTTAGTTAGTGACAGTTGAAATAAATATGAGCCGGTCTTGACATTGTCTGATAATGGTTTTGAGCATTGCCCTTGTTTGTCCTGCATTTGCTGTGGGGATCCCCAGTGCTCAGTGGGGAATCCTGAATGACAGAACACTGGATGTCTTGGGACAGGGATCATATCAATCAGATGAAATAAGGAGAGTGTAGGATGTTATGAGCAGCTTGCACAGGAAGCTGTGAGTTACCCCACAGGATCACAGCTGTCTGTGTCATTGCTCCCTGCTCTGCGTTGTACTTTATGCCCTTTAGTGTTACTTACATTTTATGTGAAAACAAAACCTAAATGTGTTTGTGTCATTTCAGGATTTTAGAGAAATTACGAGCTCTAACTGCCTTGACATCTGTGCTGTATTACAGCAGTATGCCCTGTAATAGACTTTGTTTGTAAGCTCATTCCTGGTGTTCTGGGATTGCTCAGATCACCTGGGGCATGGGTGTGGAAGATATTTATGGGTTATTTGTGGCTAGAAGGTGTGTCCTAACAAATATAACATGCTCACTTAGTGACTGGCACCAGTGAATTTGTTTATAGAGTTTAGGTTCAAGTAGTAGCTGTTTGTGATTTAGTCCTCAGTTTGATCCCCAGTGAGGATTACATGGGGGCGGTTGCCCAGCTCATGACACCTAATTTAGGTTTGCTGGGGAATTTCATGTGGAGGAGTAGGTGCTTGAAGAGGTGATTCATGATGTCTGGGCTGAATTGTTCCTTGGAGGAGCACCTCTGTCTCTGCCAGCCACAGAGGGAGCCCAGGGAGGCTGGCTGGTGTCTAAAACATGTTTTCCCTGAGACACCTTTCATCATCCTGCTTTCCTGGGGATCTCGTCATAACAGAAGCAGTTTGCAAGAGTTTTTTTGAGGAGCAGCCGCTTTGTCGCAGCCTTTTTTTACAAGCAAAAGTTGAAAGACTAACAACTACTACTAGATTCCTTTTTTTCAGACTGTGTCTACTGATTACATTGTTACTTTGCAATTTGATTACCCAAAGCTTTCCATATCAGAATGAAAAGTAATCATTCTTTAATACTTGTACTGGACAAATATGGACATACCAGAGTGAACTAACTTGCTCGGTGAGCTTCCCATACCTGTGTAACTACTCAGTTTAAGAATTTAGGCTCCAGTGGCCAGATTTGCAGCCCTGTTCTGATGAACAGTCAATATTCTTAATCCAGTTACTTCGCAGTTACTACTTTCCAGGATTCAGTCCCATGTAGGGTGAATGTGAGTTGCATTCCTTGTCTGTACAGATGATAACTTTGGCTGGCTGTATTAAAATACATTTTTCAGACTAAAAATATACAAATGAAGTCAACTTGACAAATGATCATATTAATATATATATGACTAATAAACTTTCTGCATCGTTTTTAGTGTTATTGACAAATGTGATCAGCATTCATGTGAGATTTATTTTTGTATTCTATGGAAGATATTAAACACTGTAAGGCTTAGTACTGGTGTCAGCAAAGGCTCAATGAAATATCCAGCCTTAAGATTTTTCACTTCAAAAAAATGTACTTTGGAAATCTAGTCCGGAATTTTTTTTTTGCCAAAATTAATTCCACAGAAAGTTTTGTCTTATTTATACCTCACACTGCTACAGTGCTACTTTTTAAAAAATCCAAATATTTGTGGTTTTCATCTGGGCAATTTAAAGAAGCTCGAATACATCATATTTCATTACTTACTCTGTTATCAATCAAACTTGTTCTCTCAGCACAAAATGTCACTGACTTTATTTTGCCGAGTGCTTGACTTTCATTGTCATTGATTTTCAGTAATGATTTTACTACCTTTTAATTTCTTCTGAGGTGACATGCAAGTCAGTATTTTCATTGTTTTGTCCAGGCTAGATGTTCTACTAGTTGACCTGCAAATATGTGTGTTAATACTACCTTTCCCCAGAGCAATAATTAGTATAATAATTTAAAAAAAAAAAAAAAATAAAAACAAAAACAAAAAAACCACAACCAAACAACCAACTGCCTGCATTTCTGTGAAAACACTTAACCACACTAGTTAAGTGAAAAAGTAAATCTATGATGAAATTTAGAATATGGTTACAGGCTTCAGGGTTTACACAGTAAGTGGTAAAGATGAGGTAGCAACACCCCTCTGCTGGCAAGGACACGGGGAAGATGAAAATGTGTGTTGAGGTCTTGCTCCGAGTGCTCACTCTGATACCTTCTGCAGTGGCTCTGATAGACATCCCTCAGGGCCCCTATTTATAGAGTAGCTGGTTTGAAAGGATGTCCTTATAGTCACATACATCAAATTCCAGTAACTTTCCATTGCACTTGGAGTATAACTTTTAAAGAGAATTATCCCCAGCACACAAGGGATGTCTTACAGTGCATATTTATTAGTAGGCAGATCTCATGTTTAATACATTTGCATATTTATATTCTTGCTGTTGATATCATGGAACCAGTCCTAGAATGGGCTGCTAAATGCTATTGCCTCAGGGGCTTGAATCCTTAAAGTTGGCTATCTGTCATGCTCTCACTGAATATGAAAACAGCCTTATACTTGGTTGCTTTAGTTCTTCCCAAAGTAAGCAGAGATATTTTTCTTTTCCTTATATTTTTCCACTGGTGGTAGTGGGCCAACATCATTGCAAAGCTCCTTTTGGTCTTAGCATACTTAAAAACATTCTTTTGCGCAGTCATCTTTTTACCTGCTAGTTGCAGATTTATTTTTATTGATACCTCTAACTTGCTTGTGCAGTGAATAACAAACACGGAGATACTGCATGGTGGCAATATGTGTTATTTGTCTTGCATTTGAAAGCATCATGATTTTTGTTTCTGGATTGCTGTTCAGCAGCACTTGGATGATGGTGATCAGTTGTCTTGGGTTCTCATGTTAACCATATAATAAATCTCAAGTTACTGCTCTGTCATCAAATGTTTTCCAGGCTAAGCAGTAGCTCTATGGTGAACTGTTAAATAACTTCATATGTGTATTTTTTTTTAATCTTTGATTGCTATATAAGCGACAAATGTCAGTACGTTTTGTGAATTTGGTGAGTGAGCGAGCTGTAGATGAGACCATGGAAGTCAACAAACACAGCTTTGGTTCTCTTCCAAAACTTTGTCCTCTGTGCCTCTGTTTGCACAGGAACGTGGTCTGCTGCAGCTTCAAGAGGGAGCATCATCATACAGCTTTAGGTCGGTGCTGTGTACCATGCTGTTGCTTTGCTATCATACTTTCATGACCTTTGTGTTAGGTAAGATTGTTTATAATAATTTTTGGATTTGATTAGTTCATGTGGGACAGAGGGGGGAAAAGATGATTTCATCACCTATTTGTTGTTGAATTGTTTGTTCTTGACCAGATTAAATCTAACTTTTTTTGTGGGTAATTTTACAATAGTGATCATACTGAAGAGAGTCTCTTAATCTTCAAGGAGATCAAATACATAAGAAGGGAGATGCTGGGGATAGCAAAGAAATTGAGAAATATATCTGTCTTCAATAGTTAGGTGCATTATTTGGGAGGTTAAAATAATGGCTCTAAGTGGTGAATGCCTGAACACTTTGTTCACCTTTGTCATCTCTGTCTTTTTTGAGAGGTGATGGCTTCTCACTGAAACATGCTGCCCTGTTATCTCGTGCTAAAACATTCTACAAAATGTGTTTGTCTGTGCACAAGTGAGTTTTCAAGTCAGTAAGCACAATGTTGTTCAGCCCTTCCTGCCTGCTGGCTTAGTGCAACACCAGCCTTTATTTGTGCCTTACTTAGGGAGGCGACCTTTCCTGTCGGCCAGATGGAGAATGCCAACCAGTACCTGGCATTCCTGTTCTTTTGGTTTTTTTCCTCCTTCTCAACTGTTTTTGTTGCTTGCATTTTTATACATTCTAGGGACAGGGAAAGGAAATGTTGAGGAGGCAGAAAGACTGCTTAAGCCTTACTTGACTCGCTATCCAAAGGTAAAATGAATCATAATTTAGTTTTTTTGTGACTGTCTAATGTTTTCTTGCCAATTAACAAAGATCTAGACTGTATGGTCAGCTTGGAAACTGTTATAGAATACTTGTACTATTATTTATTACAGGGAGCCATATTCCTGTTTTTTGCAGGCAGGATAGAAACACTAAAGGGTAATATTGATGCGGTAAGTAATCCTTTTGCTCTTGGGAAAGTAAGTTTCAAAAGCTTTAGAAAAACTCCTCCACGATCAATGTTTTCTTTTTGGCTAATGCTTCTTCTGGTTTTGACCTATATCTAATTCACAGTTTATGAATTACAAACAAGAATTTTGAAAACTGTTTTGGCTAGCTTGTTTGACCAGCTCATTTTGCTCCCCTTCTCAGTTTCTGTTGATAAGCTAGTCTGCCAGTATTAGTGACAGTTTTCTCATTGTCTTACCTCTCCTGAAGCAGGTTCTGCCTTTAATAACGTCCAGTGGTAATCCCTTGGCTTCAGTCTGAGTGGAGAGGCATACAGAACTGGGAAGAATCAGGGAGATGAAGAATGTGTGTCCAGAATACTCTGAGACAGAGTAACAGCTGTTGTGCAGTGTGGTAGCTCCCTCGAAATCTTTGGAGCTGCAACAATAAATGCCAGCTCAGCATCTGTCCTCTGACTTTTGGTTTCCTAATTTCCCTAGACACAAACGTTCATTTTGCCTGCGCTTAGAACTTAATATTCACTTCCAGAAACAGGGAGCTCTGTAGCAGGGGTAAACTTGCTAGCACCAGGATGGCTGCAGACTCGAGAATCTCTTGTGTGGAGCCAAGAGACGTGATTTTGGGGAATACTAGGCTGTTAATAATTTGGAAGTTGCAGGAGCCGTGCTGGCAGATCAGAGAGTTTTAGTGTCTCCTAGAGCACTGGTGTGTGTGCATTTACACATGATTAAAGCCATGTTTTGAAATATTTGTGTTCAGGCAGTTAATAGGTATGAAGAATGTTGTGAGGCTCAGCAATATTGGAAGCAGTTTCATCACATGTGTTACTGGGAGCTCATGTGGTGCTTCACCTACAAGCGCCAGTGGAAGATGGCTTTCTTCTATGCAGACCTACTAAGCAAAGAAAACACTTGGTCAAAGGTAAGCAGAAAAGAAGGGTGGAAGGCCCTGTAGTATCTATTAACTGTCAATCAGATCAAGAGTTCACTTTTTGTAGCTTTGAATCTTGTGTGGTTTAGGAGATTGTTAAAACATGGTCTTCTGTGGCTCTTACAGACAACAAATGGCAAACTTTGAAATTTTAACAGATTGTGGGCAAACAGAAGTCATTTTGGCCTGACTTGTAGGTGAAGAACAGCTTATTAAAGGTGTTCTGCTGTGTATTGACTGGTTTTGTCATCAGCACATTGCACTTAGTGGTGCAAGTTGCCATTGCTTAAATTACATTATGGATAGAAGCTCTTTTGGTGATGAGTGAGGCTAGCCATGTTGATGCCTCCAGGATAATAAATGTAATTAGAAGAAGCGCCTTGCCCTGTGCATCTGAAAGGAAGGAGCTCTTCCATCCAGAACCCTGCTAGCTTTCCTCCCTCTGATTGCTCAGGAATCCCTGTGAAATCAGTACTTTTCATAATCTGAAATCATTAAACCCTTCAAGAACTGGTTTCTGGAACCTAATATTTGAGATAATGCTACCAAGTTGTCATTGGACACACAGACTGCATAGTTTGGGTTTGTTTTTTTTTTTTTGCTGAGCATGACCTTTTCATAAGTTTTCTAGCATGTATTCGTAAGACTAATATATAAGTTCACTTTATGCAAACATTACATTTGTTCCTGGAATTTGGACATAAACTGTAATGTGATGCAAAGTAAACAAAAATATACATGATTTAAAAAAAAAAATAAATCTGTACTCCACTTTGTGAATTACTTATCTCCTGCCTAAAATTTTGTAAGATTACATCTGTTTGAGACCAAAAGCAGCAAATTCTTCCTTCTTGCTGGTTTGTGCCTTATATCAATAATGGTAGTGCTGTAAGTTCATTTTTATGTATATAAATTCTTGATTGCATTTTCAGGCTACTTATATTTACATGAAAGCTGCTTATCTCAGTATGTTTGGACCAGATGACTGCAGTCCTTTTGGAGACAGCAAAGTTGAATTATTTAGGTAAAAATTGCTAACTTCCAGTTAAAGAGTTTCCTATCTTTGCACATCGCAGTGTTGGGGGAAGAGAAGCAGAATTATTCGCTGTGCAGTTTGGATGATGTATGCAAAAAGCATTGGCTTGGTAAGGAATTGCAGGATTAAACATTCTCTTAGACTAAAGCAGACCCTGAGTTCAGACAGGAGATTTCTTTTGGCCTGGAAATACTTTAGGAACAGGATATTTGACTTGTCAGCCATACAGTGGCTGCTGCTGTTGCGTGTAATATTCACATTTTTTTTCAGTTGTTTCCTTTCATCAAAATGGCATGTAAGATAGGAAAGCTTTCAATGGATTATGCTACACATTGTGTGCCTCTGTAGTGGAGGCATCAGTAAAACTGGATTCTTGGATTTTGAGTCTGAGAGGAATGTGAAATAGTTAAATGTGCAAGTGAATATACGCGTTATTAACGCAAGGAGTTTGAGTTAACCTGATTGCAATGTTTAAGCTCAAAAACGCCTAAACCTTGCTGGGGAAAAAAAAATGTTACTTTAGTTGCCACAATATTTCTATAACATCTAAATATCGCTTTTTTATGTGCTTACAATATATTGATGCTTTTCAAGTACAAGCATATTTCACTAGACTTGGGGTCTATTATGAAGTGAATAGTTTTGGTCTTTGGGAGAATGGGAGGTGACAAGAGCTAGTTTGCCTCATTCATAGTCTGTGAAGAAAGATGGGACCTTTATAAGAGAGGAGCATCATCTAATTTATTCTTTGTGTGGGGAAGGGTCCCTCTCCCTCCTGCTTGATTCAAGAGGAAGCCTAGAGAGATACGTGCCCTGCATAAAGACAGTTTTTGTGAGTATTTATTGCTCAGCTTCCCCAGAGGTAGCAGCAGTGTGTAGCAGCGTTTTTAAGTTCCCTTTGGTTTGATTTTTTTTTTTTTTAAGTTTGAATTATTTTCTTTTCTCAGAGGTTCACAGTGGAAAAATTTCTTACATTTTCTTTTAAACTTTCAGGATTGTTCCCAGTTTGAAACTGAAAATTGCAGGGAAATCTCTGCCTACAGAAAAGTTTGCAATTCGGAAAGCTCGACGGTACCTTTCTTCAAACCCCATTCCTTTGCCTGTTCCACCTTTGGTAAGTTAGAAATATTTTCCCCCCTTCCCCCAGCTTGTAAAGATTTTTTTTTTTTATTATTATTATTTTTTAATTTATGGAAATAAAAGCGATATAATTAGAATAGTATCTTTCCATGTTTCTAAGGTAAAACCTCTGCAGGAGACTGGAATGTTCCCAAAGCAAAGCCAAATGAATGTGAGGAATGCTGTAAAACTGGGGCATGCACCAGCCACAGGGAACTAAGCCAGTTGTTTGGGACACGTAAATGTGTTGCATGTGTAACTCATTATTCCAGCTATAGACTAGCATGCTCCTAACAGCTTCCTTTTGATTCCTTTTTGAGGAACTTTGCCCTAGGTCTTTTGTGTCATGTATCGTGTACTGAGACTGCTAAAAGAAGACTTTAAGGTACAAGTTATGGGGAGGGAGGAGGAAATTGAGGAAACAGTGAATTGGGGACTGCCTGTAAGCATCTATTTGATTTGCCCCTGAATGTTTGCAATGTGATTGCTCTCCAGAGAAACTAATGGGTGCCAGGATGAAACAACCAAATCCTTCAGCCACTCCAGAAAACCACAGCAGCTGTTGATATTTTTTATTATTTTTTTTTTTTTGTCTGTAACGCTGGCCAGTTCCTTGTGGCCAGATGAGAAGGGCTGCATAAGGCTCATGGTGCTCTTAGAAAAATCCGTCTGCAAAGAACCCATAAAAGAACATAAAAGGATTTTGAGCAAAGGTTTGCTAAGTGCACTGGCGATAACATTTTGCAGGGCTTTGAGCTGTTGTGCCTGAGAAACAGATGGATAATTAGTAAATACTCTTTAAGAAAATGCCTGAGTGAGGCGAGCTTCTTGGAGACACCAGTGAGTAGTCATTTCTCAGCCCACCAGCTGGGTATGTGACACAGTGCTTCTTGAAGAAATAAAGTTGTTACAGCATAGCTTGAGTATTCACTAGGGACCACTTTCCACTGAGTGAAATGAGAGGAATAATTAGGTTACTTTGATTTGCCTTTCAGGTTTCAGAGACTGTAGAGTGAGAAACATGCACACCTGGGGTTTGGTTGGGCTGTTCTAATGGGATTTTAGCAGAACAGGTTTCTGTACTAAGTTCTCCTTGAAGTGACACTGTGTCCTTTGTTTCTGATGCAGTTGCATTTCTGAGGCAGCAGATGCCACAGCTGAACAGTTAAAAGCACTCTTGAGGATGTGGAATTGGGGGCGGAATCTCATCTCTAGGATCTCTTCTTCTTCCTGTGATGGGACTTGCTTAGAGGAGTGAGTCCTCAAGCAAGTCTTAGCTCAGGGGTTTAGCCTGGAATAAATGTAGTTTAAATAAATGCTTCTGTTTCAAAACCATGTTACCAAACTTGCAGGAGATACAGTAAGTTCAGCACTGGTTGTCCAGTCAGTAGAGACCAGATGGTGAGAGCAGCAGTGACTGGAGTCACCATGCTGCTTCTTCTATTCAAGCCCAACAGCTTTTTGTAGTATAGTTCCAGAACTCTGTTATTTTATACAGAAATATTATCAAAACCCTTTAAATTATCAAATACAGACTACGTCATATAAACAAAATAAATAACTTGTCACAAGGACCAGTCATAAATTTATATAAATTTCCATATTTAACTTTATAACTTGTCACAAGGACCAGTCATAAATTTATATAAATTTCCATATTTAACTTTATGATTGCTAGTGGCAATGGGCACGTTTGGTCTGGTGATACACTCTAAGAGAGAACCCTAATAACAGACAGGGATTAAAACAATACTTTTCAGTAAAATTTAAGAACAGCTGAATAAAAAAGAAGCTACTTCCTGTGGGAACATCAAACCTGGGGAATTTAAGGGGTTTATAGTTTATAGCTCAGCTCTAAAATTCTGTTCGTTTAAAGCTTGACTTAAAGGTTAGGAGTTCAGGTTTTCTTTTTGCTTTGATTTGTTGTCCTGAGTTTTCATATTTTTTGTGTGGAAGCAATAAATTGTAGTTATTTATAGTTATTACTGCCCTGTCGAGAATAGAACTGAAAAACAAGAGGAGAGTTTAATTAAGGGACAGTTAACCCTGTGCCATGAATGTTTTAAACCTGACTGTTTTGGTAATACTTGCCTTCATCTATGAGATTGTGTTTGCATCCTGTTCATGCAATCCTCCTTGCATTGTGTATAGTAAATGGCTTTTTAGTTGTCTTCCAGGGCTAACTTGTTTTGCAAAGCAGTGTAACTAGTTTTCAGTTGCAATGAAAATGTTTTTTGCCAAACTGACTGTTTATTTCAGGAATCTAACTTTTTCAGAGATTTTTTTTTTTTTTACAGAGATAAAATAAAGCATTTGATAACTGCATTTATCCCGTCCTGTAGTTAATGATGCTGTCATTTCTCCCTGACCCTAGGAAATGATGTATATCTGGAATGGCTATGCTGTAATTGGAAAATGTCCCAACTTAACAGAAGGCATGTTAGAGACTTTAATTGAAGCAGAAGAAGCATTGGCAAGAAGTTCAGGTAATCGGTGGTATGGTTTAAGCAGGTATTTTACAGTGTGATAGCTAAAGATATTTTCTGTGAATAAAAAGAGATGCTCATTAGTAAAGTTAATCTGATCATAAGAAGAACATAGATAATGAAATTATAAACTTTTTATAGGAATAATTTTCCTTTTTTTATACAGCAATAACTTACAGTAGTAGCAAGTGATTTTTCATACACATCTAGCACCGTTTATTTTGCTAGCTCAAAATCAGCGTGTGCATTGACTCAATTACTTGTATCGTGAAGCTTTGCCATCCTCAAACGCTGTATTTCGCTTTTGAAGAATAAGCAGAAGGGGATAAGACAGTGTTCTGCTTCGAAAGTGCTGTCAGTTTATGATGTGACCTTGGGCTGAGTGCTGTGTGTCAACAGTACACTGTAGAAAGCTGGGATATGAGGGTTGGGCTTCCTTGGCACTACGAATGAGGATGAGATGGTATTGAACTGGAACAGGCTGTGCTACCACCTCTTCTATCAGTCTGTTAATTAGGCATCCATGAGAAAGTTGAATTGATGTTTATTTCTTGCCAGTCTTTCTCAGCTCTTACAGGAGTGCAATCGGTCTGCACAGCTTTTCCCTTACTAAATATTCGATCTTTTTGTTATATTGCTTTTCTGCAAAAGGATCAAGCCCCTGTTGACAAGCAACATGGGCTAAAACACTGCATTGCAGTCTTTTCTAGGACCTTGGTTTTCCTGTGCACGCTGTTCCACAAGAGTTGAAAGAGTTGCTTGAAAGACTGGCTAAAGGTATCTCCTAAATGAACTGAAAAAGAGTGGAAAAATATTTTCAGTGAAGGTGGGGTATCTTAGAGGAAGACTTTTGGCCCTTCTACTTTCTTTGTCCCCAATTTTGTTACATTATTTTGAATGAGTGAATTATTTCTTTGTTTCCTTTTTTCTTAAGTTGGTAAATTGTGGATAAACCTGGCATTTTGCAGGGATTTGGAGAAGCTGATTCATGTTTATAAAACACTGTGAGGACATGTAGACAAAAAGTGGGATATATTTTTAATACACTAGCAATTTAAAGTATTACCTGTTCCAAAGGGTGACTTGCTGTTCCCAGGTGTTGTGCATTCCTTGAGCTTTCCTGTCAGTGTTTGGGGCTAAACCATTGTATTTGCAGGTATTTTCTCTGTATTACTGTTAAAAGCAAGAATCTTAACAGTATAAAATTCTGAACCTGAGGATGTGCTCCTCGCAGTGTTATACCATGGAAGATGTGAAAGGAAGTCTGTTAGTGGAAGTAACATCTAGAAATGCAATTGTGCATATCAAAGTTACACTTAGAATAGGTAAATCTTTGTTTACACAACCCAGGACCGTTTGTAGGATACAAGTAAAAGAAATACATGCATGTGGATGTGTTCTTGGGAACAGATGTCCAGAAGAGACAACTGATATGCTTTTTTTTTTATTATTATTATGAAATAATTCTTCTGTGACCCTGAGTCATCTCACTGTGCAGGCACTTAGTGTGTCAACTTTTGCCCACCTCTGTGTTCGTTCTAAGTTAGTTTGTGGCATAGGCTTTGGACATCATCCCTGGGATCCGCTTTGGTGATGCGTGTATGTAGGGGCCTCTGTGGGACGTATCAATAGGAGTGACTCCAGTTGTACAGTCACTCCAACTGCAGAGCTCAAAAGGAGGCAGTTGTTCCATGTAATGTATGTCAGCTTTTAATCAGTTGGAGGAAGAACCAGGTAAGGTTTGGAGCAGCAAAAGCAGGGCATATCCAATAGCACGAGATGCAGTATCCCATGTTTTGCAGAAATTCTTTTTAGTTAGTATTTCATGAATTGGAAATGAGGAAGCAAGCTGAAGATTTTGCATGTAAGCTTTAAGTTGCATATGTGGAATGGCTGTGAAAAACCCAGATCTTCTCTTTGAAATGTATTATGCAATAATTTTCTGATGGAGAAAGGGTATTGATAGTAATGACTTTGGAACTAGGCACTGGTAAGACTGGACACTCATAATTGGGAGTATAAATTCAAAAAGAGGTGAAAAAAAAGTTGTTAGAAAATGAGGGGACGTGAGGTGCAGGTAAGCAAAGTTTCACATACTTTTGCTTAGACCAAAAAAGGCAGAGAATTGATAAAACCCTTGCATAATAAATAGGTCATATGACTAAAAGTCAAGGAAGGAAGGAGAAGAGCTGTACATACTAAAGGGCAATAAAGGCATAATCATAGAATCATAGGGGTTG